CAGTTCATCGTCGCCTTTTACAAATCACAATTGATCTTTATCATCCGTTCATGCTCGTCCGGTGATCACGATTGCAGTAACGAGAGCCTTATCACGCGATTTTTCAAGCTTTCTCCTTCTTAAGTAAATCAATTAGCACATAGGATTGTTTCTGAACTGTATTACTTACGACCCGCAGTCGCGGAAATTGCCTTCAAAGATAGTTCCCGAGTGATCCGCGAAATGCCCAGGTGCATTTGGCATGTAAGTCCGCGCTTTCACAGAGTTGAACACTTTCTTTAGTTGAAAGAGCGAAAAAAGCGGCGCAGAAGCTGTACAGTCTCTCAAACAACGATTTGGCAGCATTTCCATCTCACAAGAAGATGAGTTTGGATGACTAAATCCGACACTGATGCAATAAATTGATGCGGAAGCTCCTCTTACATGCTTACCGTAGTCCTAAATTAAGCATTTTTCAAGAGCTATTTTCTGTCCCAAAGTTTTTGTCTCATATTTTACTGGTATTGAATGGCACTTACTACAGCAAGTTCAGAGAATTCGTACAGTGCGGCTGTGCGATTGTCAGGCAGTGGTCTGTATATGCTGTTCTTGTAGTTCCTCTTTGTAATTTTCTTCGCTGGGGTGTCACTTATTAGCTGATGGTTCATGAGTAAACACCCACTACCCGTAATATTTGATCGCGACAATTGTATCAAAACACTAGCAGCCAGCGATAATGGATACTCGTTTGTGGCTGCGTCCCCGTCTGTAGCACTGGAGCATCGTTACAATGGTAGCGCGACGTGCCGCGTCGTGGCGCATCATAACGAAGTCTGCAATTCTGTCCAACAAGCACCGTGATCGCTGGATACATTGTGAGAAGCTGGAGTAGCATGCAGTACAACTAATATTTGTAATGAAATCCATGAAAAGCAAAGGGTTAGACAAGCTTATCGTATCAAATGCAATTGTAGTCGCCGAAGATAGAAAAGAGCTCTTCCAAAAAGGAGCTCTTCCAAACTCATGCAAACTCACGTAGGCAACACTTCTCAAAAAGTGGTATAAATTGTAATGGTCATTTATCCATTGCTGGCTCATATTCCTTACTACAACTATACCACTCCCATAAAGCATATATATGCTCCTGAAAAGTTTTTAAAACTGTTGAATCCACTACTGAAATTCGAGTGTACTTTTCTGACCAACATACATTTGTAGCATGGTGAGAACAGCTGCAATTCGTGTAGTGACGATGTTTTCTCGCTTTTGGTATTTAGAAGAAAGTGTGTTCAAGCTGAAAAATGGCATACTGAAGAGGCTTGATGAAGAATTGTTGGCTTGAAACTCGTTTTTTTTTGCAGGAAAAAAGCTAAGAGGCAGTGCACATCCATTTTAGGGGTCCTCACCGAGAGGGTGGCATTTAAGCGCTGGATTGGGTGACAGGAACGCATAACAAGGATGAAGCCCATTTTTGTGATCCTTATAGCACGGATCCTGCAACATGCGACAAAGCTTTTCTAAAAAGTGCGCCACCGGAATAACCTCCCTTGTCAGGTTTATGTTGAAGGTTATGCGACTGTCTTGCGATCCCAGATGTTTCATGTCTACGCTGCATCACTGGACAACAAAGGTGACAAAGAAAACCTACAAGTTAGCCAATATGACAATATAAACTAACCTCAAACGCGGTCTCTTGTTGTAGGCGACCAAAGACAGCATAATAACATTGCCAAACAGACATAGGCCGAAGCATGTTATAAGAAAGACGTTGTAACCTATGAACGCTTTCGGTGGGACCGCTACGAATGTAAACGCAGCCTCATCAAATGCGTCTATCGAGTAAATCAGCCATTCAGAAATGCCTGGTAACAGTACCTGAAAATCGCTCGAGTAGCGTAAAATTGCAATTTTTCTATTTTGCGATTTTTACCGCAGCAAGAAAGAGGATCAGTCCGCAGCATCGGCTTTTTTGCTCATATGTCCGCACACAACATGTGGCGACCGTTCGTTCGCAGCACACAGCCAACTGTAAAAACACCTGAAATGTCTTTATCGGATAAAACGTCTCAAATGGAGGTCTGCTGCTTCTGCAACGTCTGAAGCACGCACGCTATATTGTTATGGTAAGATCAGTCAGCCAGTTATTCGTGATAATGATATAATTTAATGCATATTGCTTGAAACTGACCTGCGTGAATATGGAGTAAACGAGCAGTAAGTGGGCTATCACATATGGAGTTTTCGGAATGAACAAATCACAAGTTCGTTGCAGTGAAACCAAGAAATATTTGAAAGCACTGAATTGTTGGCAAAATGCAATTGTTATTGTAGTTCATTGGCATTTTTCTCGTAGTGATATTCTAATACTTTATCAAAGTGTCAAAAAATGCGCAACCTCGTACTTGACCTTGATCCGGGTGGGGCACTCACGTATAGTAGCGAGAAAACGCTTGAACGAGCCAAAGCCCTGTACTTTCCAATAGTTCTGCCAGGTATTTCAAAGAAATCCATCAAAATTTTGTTTCGGCAAACAAACCGAATCCGATGAGGCTGCTCCCAGAAATGAAGTTGTGTGACTCAAGTCGCGGTCAAAGCAAAATGCTGGAGCGTATCGCGGAAGGGCACGCCCGCACCGCGCTGACAAGTCAGTGCACTTATTCTCCGGTACTGCAATGTTACCATTTAGCCAGCACAGGATGAAGAAAGCATGACTGGCTCGGCCCGGAACCGATCTGGGATCAGACCCTCGGATTGTGCACGTGCTAGGTCGCGCCGCTAACCTATACACAATACCACTCTACCAAAAATGTTATTGCCTCTCTTTTTTTTCAAAACTGCTGTTTTACGCAGCAATTCGCCTTTGAAAGTTCCCACAAGAATGCTGAGTTTTGGGCAAAAGTGGAACCCAGGCGGGAGTTGAACCTGCAACAGATAGCGCACTCGCCGGAAAGCGTGAGGTGCGGGTTCGACTCCCGTCTGGGGTTCGACTTTTGCCCATAACTCAACATTCCTTGCTATTGCTTGTCTTTTTTCTAGTTTTTTTTCCACAACTGAATCGTACTACGCGCATGTTATTTTTTCATGAACGATGATTACAGTATATTAAACCAGCGAACAAAAAAATTTTGTCGTTCCTTTCATATTTGGAAAACGCTCCCCGGCTTGGTCTACAAAAACAGCATTCCTCTTCTCTACTGATTTCGACCACAACACGAAGAAGGCACTTCTGCCATTCTGCAACTTGAGACTTCGAGCAGAACCAGTTGCCAGGTAATGCAGAACGTCGCAAAGGAAAGCAGATCAAAAGCCTTCCCTTTCAACGAAAACGGATTCAGGTGGAGTAATAAAAAAGAAAACTACCTGGCCTATGGCGTAGACCACAGCATGAATCGTTGCATTCAGAAAGTAAGATAAGAGGAGAATCTGAAAAAAAATAAAGGTTGTATGAAAGGAGGAAGTAGAAACCATCATCCCTGAGTGAAACCATGAGAAACGAAACGGGTCATAGCCACCGACGGGTTGGACGAAATTTGGGCGAAGCTTTCTCATCTGCTAGCGTTACCTTTGGACAATTATGATGACATGTCTCATTTAACGGGCAGTGTTTTTGCTTTCGGATGGCTGTAGCAGCAGTTTCATAACGTTGTGCTTTCAAATTTATTTTCAGTTCCTTTTATACTGTGGCCCCCGGCAGAGACCCTTCCTAACACTGGCTTTTTTATTTAGAATACTCAACGTTCCGTCCACAGTCGGCTGAACGATATTCAGATCATCCCTGCTACCGTACTTGACCACGAATCCACGCAAGCAGAGGTGGGATCAGCACGCAAGCAAAGGAAGACGTGTTCATCCTGGCAAAATGATGTCAAATTTTATCTGCATGTCCTGGGAACATTATCTTTAATCTTAATGTCGTGAGGACAACCGAGGTTTGATGGCACTATGCGTCCCGAACGAGGCACGTCGTAAATTGAGGACCACTCGCGTGCCGTCCTCAGATATGCACAGTACTTGCTTATACATTCAGGTCACATGTACATGATATTTATACAGCATCCCTTTGATGCATATTGCACTGTTTCTAATTGCTTATAAGTATTTTCACTTTTTGGCGTTTGATACCATTAGTTTGTAGGTAGCGGACAAAGGTGCTTCCTTCTGATAATCAGATCCGGAATGTGTGTTCGGCACTTCAGAGCCAAGTGGCTCCATATTGCTTCTATATTCCATTGGTTTGCTAGTTATTACAGCGCTTCCCTACCCGTGCTACATTGTTATCACAAACTGACTTTTGATTGTCACTCCAACCTGGCGCTGATTGAGAGCTAGGTTTTCCCTATGTAAGTACCGCAAACGTTGTTCCTTTCTTACATTTCGAACTGATAGTGGCCAGCTCCACTTGTTTTGCTTTTATTTTTCTTGTTTTTGAGGCTAACTATACGGCATATCTTGAACAAAAAAAGAAATGGACGAACCTTAAGATTTGGATGGAACGTGGCCTTCGATATGTACTTTACCTCCACATATGATAGAAGGAGAATAGCCGCAATAGACTCCATTGTTGCAAAGAATTTGGCAGCTACGGTACACTGAACTTCTTGCTGCCTCAGCGTCTCGCTTCAATTACATTACATTCACGAAAAAGAATTGAAACTTAAGAAGGATATGTAATTGACAGTATTCACAATCCTGTTAAATCTAGGCGGTCACCCTTCCACTCATGGAAATTATCCCGATGAGATGAGAACCAGTGCGAAATTGTAATTCATCGACATATCCCACGTAGCAGTTGACCCTTGCAATTGCGTTCTTTTGAACCTTTTGTCCGCGACTTGAGAGGGTGAACTCAAATCTGCGTTTGGAATTTGCTGAGCGATTTCCTCAATGGAGTTATGGAGGCTTTTCATCGCTGTTCTCCCTAGGAAAGGCGAACGCAGAAGCGAGCGGTATAATCACTATGTAATGTGCGTGTTAAGGGGTGTAATGTGCGTGTTCAGGGGATCAAATGGCTCTGAGTTTTGACAAAAAATGAAAAAAAAGGGTTGAGTAGTGATGGCTGAATAGCAGCGTAGATCTGACCGATTCCCAATGACTGGTCTTCGAGCTGAATGAACTGTTGAATCAAGCCTGTTCATGAAGAACAGTATCTGACTCACGCGTTCGCATCATGTGCTTCATTTTCCAGACTTCCAAAATTTTCCTGACTTGGAAGAAAATTCCATTCCAAAACTAGCCATTGATGGTAGATGAGGCTCCAGGCCACTGCTACTAGGACCCTAAGAGGTACCACGCTCCTAAGTTAGATCGAAAAACTCAGGTTTGACCATAGGGTAACTGGATCTGCTGAACGTGATTATCACATTAGCCCGAAAATGTGACATGAGATATGAGGGGGACAAGCAGGATTAAAAGTTTGTAATACAGAGGAATGGAGGAGAAAAGTCTAGCAAAGCAAAAATCCAAGAAAGCTCAATCGCTGATTCTCTTAACAAGCAAGTAGCAAGAAGGCAGAAGAAGTTAGGGTCTTGTTGGATTGAGAGGTTTTCTGGAGAAATTCGAAAAAGCAGGAGCGGCATGGTGCCGCCGTAATGAGGATCGATGCGAACCAGACCTTGCGAGATAAGAAGATCCTACTATCGTCTCCTGTTGCAAGCGCTCTGCTGCATTTATGTAAGAAGTTTTCACGTTTTCTTATGCGATAGCATTGATAGGAAAAGAAACAAGGCATAAGTAGAAAGATTACTACAAAACAGTGAGCAGATTCATGTTCAACCTTTACCGCTGGTCGTTTCGCTACTCGAGGCTGACCAACTCCTCTTGTAAATAAAAGAAGCATTTCTGCTGGAATCCTGTCGTGTGAACCCGCGAAACTTTGGAGTTTCACCTGTGCACAGTTTCCTTAGTCGGATGGCGTTCATTGCTGGAAGGTGCTAAGGAGGGAGCCACTCAGCATTGGTTTTCTTCCTCGAAAGGTCCCAATAAATGCAAAGAAAGGGTGAGGGAGGGTATTGGATCGTATGGACTCGACCAGATCTCCAACGCATGATGTGCCCTGAGCTCACCTCAGGCTGCCTCTTCGAGCGATCATTAGGTACATGAACAATTCAAGAAGAAACTACGTTGATGCAAACGCCGCGGCTGGGCGTATTCGAGCTTTTTAGAAAAGTGGAGAAGAGGAGGAGGCCTAAGTGAGGCACAATGCAGAAGGCGAACTGATTGAACGCATCCGCATGTGACGGCGGATTTACAGTGGGATTCTGACCTCAACTACGACCACGTCGAAACATTGGGCCTTTCAATGAAAAATTCAATAGATGTTCCAGTTGCTGAGACACAACAATATCAATGAATCAAACAAGTAAGAGGTTGGGCCAAGCAAGAAAGAGCTGAAGAGTATTTGGAAAATAGGTGGTTCGTTTTAGCAGTTTCACTGCTTTCTTTAATTCTCCAGTCATCAGATACATTAGTTATCTCAAAGGTTTGTGAAACTTTTCACGCATGGCCGCAGGTGTATTTATTGCAAAGGGTCGTTGAACAACAGCGATAGTCAGTCGTTGGTCCTTACCTGATTGCATTCCTCATCTGTCATATGTGCGAGTTCCTCATAAGTGGGCATTTCTGTGAGCACTTCGGCAGAACCAGTAGCAGTGTTTCGAAATACGATCTCTCGAAAATGAGAACATGTAAACCAAGAGAAAACAGAAAAGGCATTCATGAGC